TTTCTCAGTACTGTGACAAAGTTGGGCGGAAGCAGGGTCAACCCTACGTTGTTACTAGTAACAACGGGGGGTCGTACCTGGTTGAGTTTATAGGAGGGGGGGGGTCGTATCCGCTTCAGTCGCGTGAAAGTACATGTGAGTTTGTGGTGAAAGTGGAGTTTTCACGAGTAGTAGGCTAGGTGAGTTGGGAGCGCATGGGAGAAGAAATTCGCCGTTTCAGCGTGCGTATATACCCCCTAGAAAATGAGGTTGTGGGAAGATAGGTAAAATATAGCTAAAATGGGTGAAAGTACACTGTAAAGTAACAACTAAACTTTTACACAGCTTTCGAGTTTCACTGTTTTCAGATCACCATCGTTCGTGATGTTCGACGTAAATGGCAAAGGGATCGCTTTTGCCAGAGAAGGCGGAGCTAAATCCTAGTTCACTTGTTGTCTTAAATGCAGTACTGTAACATATGATAGATATGTATTTATAATAAATGATAGAGTTATGTTCCTTATATTTTACAAGTGAAAGACGCCTGTGGGAGAAACTTCACGAGAGGGAGAGTAGAATCGGTAGTGGTGAAAATTTTATAACATTTTGTATTTCACCCTGAGTTGGGTGAAAATTATGGACTTGCCAGAGCTCAAAATAGGCTGCCACAAGCCTTTCGAAGTGATTTGGAATAAAAAAGGCTTTATTGAATTGATGACGCTCATTCGGCTTCATAATTATTCGATTTTGAAAAAGAAACCAGCTGAACCAATAGCCCTGCATGAAGTCACCCGTCATCGATCAATGAGGTGAAAAAATAAGAATCGAATGCGTTAATCAGAACGGCATCCTCAATTTCACACTATTGTCATAAATTGTATGTTGTTAGTATTAAAGATGATTCTCGAACCAGTAAAAAAAACTGTATTCTGACAGAAAAGCTTCTGAAAATGAAGCTGAAAACGGCAAAAGGCAAAACAACACCGGAAAAGTTTTACTTCGTTTAGCAGAAACCGCACGTCTTTTTGCACATGGACTTCATCATGGAGATTCTGTCCTTATCGGTCGACTGACACAGGCCCTCCTTCTTGTGTGTTTCGCATATTCGAGAACGATCCTTGCACACCTGAAGCAAAGTTTCACCTCACAAGGAATTTGAGGCTACAACCAGGGTGGAAATCGTGTCGAGGAATTGACCGCCTCTACTGCCTACCGCAGTTGAGCAGTCTCGCGCTCCACTATGGGGGCACTGATTACTCGCGGTCGCGTCGCGCGCTGTGCCTGGGGTGGCCGATGCCAGACTTTGCGATTGGAGCGATTTTGCACCAATTGCAGGAAGCGTCACTGCGAGTTTCGGACCACCAATATTTTAATTCAGAATCCGGGGAGTGAAACAGCATATTCATCGAATGACTCATTAGCACTTTCCCATTTACCAGTATGAGTGGAAACCTCGTACGATTAAAGCTAGGAATTTTTTGAGTCGAAAAAGAGAGGTAGGTCGGTTTTGACATCATCTGACAAATCATCCCTCTCACTTGCTAAAAAGTTAGGCCTGGACAAAAGAAGTATACAGTTAGTTAGAGTAGGGTCTGCACTGTATGGTGGAAAAGTTAAACTTACTGGACAATTTTTCCCGGAGTCTTTTTTGCCACATAGGGTCAAAAACGCACCCTTTTTGAGCACACGTGAGTAGCAGATGAGCACATTTATTAGAATTTCTTGTGCAATCAACTTCGTTAAAGCGTTTGTGCATCATCGATCAGTCACTGCTAAGGTGTCCTACCATTTCAGCACAGCACAAGACTGGTGCAGCCCCGTCTCGACTGATTTAACTAGGGCCACCTTTTTGACGACGATTGCGGGCATCACTTCAAAGACTTCACTGTCTTTTGAGAAAAGTCGATATGAACGTTCAAATGGTAGTATTCCCTCCAACAAATGCAATGTTGGTCTGGTGGGCGGAAGTTGTAGCTCTCAGCAGGAATTTTGAAGCATTTGGATACACATGCGAATTTGCCACTGGACCTCAGGGATTTTCAAAAAAAAAGTATAAAAAATTGGAAAGTTAAATTGTGAACCAACAATAGAAAACAATAAGCAACATATTTCGCAATATTAATGAGCAAAAACTGCCTTCTGAGATATTGATTTTCCATAGTAATCGGCCCCAAAACTTCCTGAACTCAGAAAAGCGACACTAAGATATCCGGTACCTAATATTTACCCGTGCACTTCACAATAGGGTTTGTACATGAAAACTTCGATTTCTCCTGATTTACCGGAAGTTGCGCCCTAGCGGGAAAGCGCCCTTTTTTAAGTGAAACCATCATTTCATCAGCGCAAGCTTATTAGAGTAGGCGATTATCATAAGTGTCAACGACTCCATTAATCTTTGACAAAGCGGCAGCGGTGCTTGTCATGACCCATTTCTTCGTGTCGTTGTGATGGAAAAGCACCCCCTCGCCCCCCCATCCATAATTTTTTCCCGCTCCATGCACTATTTATTGGCAGACATAAGAGTGATGACAACAACAAAGCACGATTTTTGAAACAGTTCCAATCCCTTACTGTTTCTGAAGACTGAAAACACCAAGAAGACCTGATCAGTAATAAGACTTCAGCCCACCAATGCAAAGTCCCATATAAAGTGCCTGCGAGCTCAATGCTACATTCTAAAATTTTATAATCAGCTCCCATTGAGCATTTCTCATCACCCTAAGCATACAGTAGCGGTCAAAAATGTTCGCTGAAACCATTTTTCGTGCATTATTTCTTCTGAATTGAGCAATGCGCGCGCTTATAGTAATGGGATGTCATAAAGGTTTCAAATGATGAAAGAAGAAAATGATGAGTGGCACCCAGCGGTGGGTGCCACTGTCACCAAAGGGTTAAAGAAGATATAAATTGCCAATCCTCACCTTCACTGCATCGGTCTCCTCCTTATTCTTCGTTCCTTCAGTCTTTGTTTTCACCTCCTTAGGCTTCGATTCATTGGCTACCACCCCTTCTTCAGTAAAAACATTAAGAAGCAACAGTGCAATGAATACGTGGAAGAGCATTATAGCAAGTGAAAAGGTAACTCACACAAGATTAAATGTTCGTGATCATAGCTTTAATATGATTTGTGGGCCACGTGCTATAGAATTGCTTTTGTTGTCTGATGTCTCAACCCTTCTAAGTCTGAAACTCATTGTTTTAGCCAGTATTGTCATCGGCACTCCCACCATGATCAATGCCATCGATGAGTATACGTTTATTGAGCCAGGACGAGTCAACAGCTGAATACACACAGAATTTCCGAATTCCTTCAATCAAAGAGGACAGGGACGATAACACACCACTGCCTAGCTAACTAGCAGGCTTGTGAATGTATTTAAAATATTAGGTCGGTCCATAAGTCTTGCAACAAACTACATTTAATGCTATAGAATTTTAGGGAGAACTCCTGAAAATCCGCAACATATTTCCTGACGTAGCATCAACCTTTGCAATTTCAGCCAACGGTCCAGCTCGTTGTCTGCTTACTTATTATGGATATTACACCGATTTCGCGAGAGGGCTCTCGATGCCCTTAATTTTTACGAGTACTGCTTGGAATGTTCCGCAAGTCATGCTAGACCAAGGATTGGCCAGAAGATAGGCGAGGGCAAGCTCTCTCAAACCACAGTGCAACGGCGCTTCACTCTGCTCAGCGTTGACTTTTTTTATTTTGAAAATAACCCACACTCCAACCACCCTGTGACTGACAATCACGATGCTCTATCTGACGGCGTTGAAAAGGGATCTGGATAGAGTATCGATCATTTGCTAGAGCGATTCCGATGCGACAAGGAGACAGCACTGTGGCATCTCCAAAGACTTGTGAAGATCCGAAAATGTAGAGTTTGGTCCCCACGTGCCTTGAGCCCGATTCAGCTCCAAACACGATCTGACACCGTTATGTTCAAGTCGACTTACTAGGGATTCTACGATTGACCATCCATCACATTTGCCGAGCAGAGTCAACCCTGCGTTGCGCAGTTCGCAACGGCACGTTGAGAGATCCTCAACGCACGCTGTATGGGCGGAGACACAGACGGCTCGAGCATGCGAGTGTGAATGTTCGCGCGAGAGAACGTGTCTAATCGGGCGAAACTGCGCAACGTGGCCGTTGAAAACTGCGCAACGCAGGGTTGACTCTGCGAAGATGGGTACAGTTTACTAACAAATGAACAAGCGGCGGTAGTCCAGCTCAAACGCTTCGGGAGATCTTATTGCTTAAGTTCAACCTCGTCCAAGTAGGGCCTTCTCGGATTTTTGGTGGAACACGGGAGGAGTTAAGCTCTGGAAACCCCTCCGTGTAGATGTCGCAGTCAACGCGAAAGTCAACTATCCACAGCTCGAATGCAACGCTTTTAATACGAAAGAAAAACAAGGCAAAGTTTGCTTTTGTATGACACCGTTGAAAAACCTCTTGCTAAGAAAATTCAGGAAAATTTCGAGACTCTGGGACGGAGAGTTCTTCCGTATTCACGTTATAGCCCTGACCTCGTGGCAAATAATGCCCCCTCTGCTTGACTTATTCTAGAATATAGATTTTTATCTTGTCTGCTACTCATTTTATTCAAACAAAACCTTCTACATTTAAATGAGATGAATGATTCATATAAACACATCTATATACATGCATTTTATCAATAAAGCCTCCACCCTAATAGTACACGTAATTTTCAGAGGCAAAAACGGAAGCAGTCTGGTTGCACATCATTTGAGTAAGAGTGAGTGGCTGAAAGGAATGAAATGAGCAGAACAAGTGAGCAAATATTCTAGAATATTTCCAAGGATGCACTCAAACACTACTGGACATTGAGGAACGAACTCCTGTATCCAGTGCTCGGCAGCAGTGCATGAAATACCTTTTTCTACAATCTGAAATGTAAAACGCCTTTACATCAATTCAGCTTTTTTGAGTGTAATATAGAAATCCCTTCAATCAATCGGAAGGCTAACCCTCCACCTAAACCTGCACGTATCGAACCACTGTAAATGCCCTTTTCTTTACTTTGTTATTCTACCAATTTCAAATATTAGAACATATTGAATGGAATTTGTCACAGCCACAGCCATGTGTCATTTCAATAATTTAGATTTCAATAATTTTGCTGGCAAGCTATGGTACGTATACCATGAGAAGATGGGTTGGGATGAAGGGTGCCCCGGTATCGTAACTTGTAGTGCACTGCGAAGCATAGAGGTGCGGCGTTCGAGTCCCATCTGGTGCGAGAGTTTTGTTCACAACCCAGCATACTTGCGAAACATATCTCTAGATGTTTCCCCCTCAGTGAAAAAATAATGTATTTACCGTGTTCCATCTTTAATGGACGCCACACGCTTCCTGTTTTGTTTCAAAGTCAAGACCAGCATCAGAATAATTTGTGTCTGCACGTTCAACAATTTTGCGGAATAGCCCCGCTGCACAAGCCAGCGAATTTGATCTGGCCAAGTCTGATACCACTCAATCGATCCGGGAGTGATAGAATCCTTGATGTCATTGATGGCATTCTTTCCTCAGGAGCAGACTTCGGACCACTGACTTATTCAGCAAAACATCTGTATTAATGATACTAGCACTGAAAGAAACAATCACATAAGGAAGTTCGAGCGGTGTACAAGGTGGCCACAATTTGCGGAAATAGGATAAAGTGGCGATGGAAAAACTGTACAACTGAAAAAAAAACGAAGGAAAGAGTGGAGAACTTAAATGTATTCATTTAAGGTCGCTAAACGGAATCCGCAATACCTTTCCAAGTAACCACTAGAAAAGGCGCAAATCCTCTAAGGGGATGATCTCGTTACTTCGTACGACAAAACAGTAGATTTGAATGGAGAGATTCAAGAGGCCACCCTCCAAACGCAATGAACTCTGGGCAGCTCAGGGCAAGAACTTTGCGCTACTTTCGTGTTAAAGGTGTTCAAGGGTGTTGCGGAGATGTTCTGTGATGTCGTGATTTTCTTTAGGAGTTTCCTTCATTAAAAATTTATTTAAGTATGAAAAAGGACCAGACTGTTATTACATTTTTATGCTGTGCGTTGCGAAACACATGTTAAAAATGCAGTGATTTCCCATGTAATCACCGCAAAAACCTTCTGTTCACTTCAACCGTCTCAGATATGGAGCTTAGGGTTGTGTTTGTGAAACCATTTGTTCACTGGAGAGAATATCGACTGTGAATATTTTCTCATCAGTGAGACCTCGGTCAGACTCGGCGATTGCGTCGCTGTACACCAGCGACGGAGCCGCCGGCGACGGAATCGCTGGCGACGGAATCGCCGGCGACGGAGCCGCCCGGCACAAGAGTGGCAGCAACGGGCGATGACTCATCAGCACACGATCGATATCGGTTGGCAGGGGGAGATTAATCATCCTCACCCATCGTTCATGTTGCTCCCCCTGCCAACCGATATCGATCGTGTGCTGATGAGTCATCGCCCGTTGCTGCCACTCTTGTGCCGGCGGCCCCGTCGCCGGCAATTCCGTCGCCGGCGATTCCGTCGCCGGCGATTCCGTCGCCGGCGATTCCGTCGCCGGCGATTCCGTCGCCGGCGATTCCGTCGCCGGCGATTCCGTCGCCGGCGATTCCGTCGCCGGCGATTCCGTCGCCGGCGATTCCGTCGCCGGCGATTCCGTCGCCGGCGATTCCGTCGCCGGCGATTCCGTCGCCGGCGATTCCGTCGCCGGCGATTTCGTCGCCGGCGATTTCCGTCGCCGGCGATTCCGTCGCCGGCGATTCCGTCGCCGGCGATTCCGTCGCCGGCGATTCCGTCGCCGGCGATTCCGTCGCCGGCGATTCCGTCGCCGGCGATTCCGTCGCCGGCGATTCCGTCGCCGGCGATTCCGTCGCCGGCGATTCCGTCGCCGGCGATTCCGTCGCCGGCGATTCCGTCGCCGGCGATTCCGTCGCCGGCGATTCCGTCGCCGGCGATTCCGTCGCCGGCGACTCCGTCGCCAGCGCTCCGTCGCCAGCGCTCCGTCGCTGGTGTACAGCGACGCAATCGCCGAGTCTGACAGAGGTCTTGAAAGAGATCGGCAGTACAGAATCGAGACAACGCTCCTTATGGTCCACTTTCTTTAGTTTGCTCACTCCATTGAAAACTACGCTTCTCCTCCTTAAGTGCCTTCACCAGGAGATGAATTCTGAAGATACTGCTAAGAAGTACACCTCGTCGCTGCTACGGGAGACAAACGATGGGTTGAATGTGCAGGAGCCCATCGCATCTTGGCGCGTACTTTTGAAATGCTGTTACTGTAGCGAAGAAAGTTTCTCTTTCGTCACGTCTAACCCTCGCTGCTATACCTAGTCGATTGATCTTCGCAACGGTAATTGTTGCATAATTCCTGAAGAACCTGAGTGGGTTTGCAAGGTGACACTACCAGACATCTTGGCGAAAAAAGCGAATGATCCTCTCATGAAGAGGCAAACATTTGAACAATCCAAACTAAATCAATTCTGGATTGTAAGATAAAGGGTCAACATTGTTTGAATAGGACCAAGCTCGATAAAGCGCCATTCAAAAATTCACGCCATTAATTTTGAGGTTGTATGTGGTGCGCTCTTGTTACCGTAATTTGTGGCCTACCGTGTACATGTACTGCCTTTCCAAGTTCCAAGGAATGTGACCAGAAAGCAGGCGGCACAATGAATTATTGCGCTTTCCCACTTCAAAAGCGCCGAAATTTTAACATTTCCACTTTCGCTTGTCTCCACCCGCTTATGAAACCAAAATTCATTGACTGTTAACCACATCTGACGTAAATGAAACGGCAAATATGGATCACAATGAAAGAGCTAATCGGCACTTCAGCAGAGATGCCAGGTCAGCGAAGATAACGAAAAGCACATACGAGATCCTATAAAAATGTAGCCGATGAGGGACTCTTTCATCCGATCCCGGCTGACATCCGGCAACAACAATGCGGTCCTACGTATCATCGCCCTCATCCTTTGTTAGTACCTTCACCGAAGGAACAGCATTACCTGATGAGGTTTGTTTCTTACACACAATGTTTATTTCAAAATAG